GAAGCACCGCAGCGCCCGTGCGCCTGCCCCCCGCACCGCCCAGGGCGGGCGTCCCGCCTGGCGGGGGACAACGGGGGGGGGGGGGGGCCGCGGCTCGGCGGGACACCCGAGGGGGGGGGCTTTATGATGGCAGGGGGGGTCCCAGCGCACGGTCCCGCAGTGGGGCACAGGGACATGGTGTGTGCATTGGGGTGTGTGCATTGGGGTGTGTGCATTGGGGTGTGTGCAGTGGGGTGTGTGCACTGGGGTGTGTGCACTGGGGTGCCCGCACCGCCGCCCCCCCTCCCGCCCCGTCGGGGTTCCCCGCCGCCCCCCTCTGTGTTCCCCCCCCCCCCCCGTTTTACCTGCGAGGCTTCCGCGCCCAATCAGAGTCCCCGTCGGCGCGGGGCTCGTGCCAATCAAGCTCCTCTCCGCCAATAGGCTGGCTGGCGATGGGTCAGGTGACGCGGCTGCCGGCGGCTCCCCATTGGCGCGGCGCGGCCTGGCCCCGGCGTTGGTTTATGTGCGAGGCGCGGGCGGGCGCCCCGTCAGTGCCCCGACGGCGCCGAGCGGCAGCGAGCGCGGCCGCGCTGCCCCTCGCCCTGCTGCGCCGCCCGGCCCGGCCCGGCCCAGAGCGGGGGGCGGGCGGCTTTGGAGGGGCGGGGGGAGCTGGTTGTGGCGGTGGTTGGGTTTTGTGTTGGACGGGGGGTGCTCGCTCCGCTGCCCCGCTCCGCGCCTGCCCGCAGCGGGGGGCGTGGGGGTGCGTTTTGGGGTGGTTTTGTACTTTTTTGGGGGCGGGCGGGAGGAGGAGGGGTAAGGGGAGGAAGGGGGGGGTCAGGCTGCCGCCGCGCCGACGGCCCCGCGCCCATGACGATGCTGCTGGACGGAGGGCCGCAGTTCCCGGCGCTGGGGGTGGGCGGCTTTGCGGCTCCCCGCCACCACGAGATGCCGGGCCGCGAAGCCGCCGCCGCCGCCGGCATGGGGCTGGGCCCCTTCGGGGACTCCTCGCACGCTGCTGCCTTCAAGCTGAACGCGGCCCCGCACGACCTCGCCGCCGGGCAGAGCTCGGCGTTCACGCCGCAAGCCCCGGGCTACGCCAGCGCCTTGGGCCATCACCACCATCACCACCACCACGCCGGCCAGGTGCCCTCCTACGGCGGGGCCGCCGCCTTCAACTCCACCCGCGACTTTCTGTTCCGCAACCGCGGCTCCGGTATCGCGGACGCCGCCTCCGGCACGGCTCAACACGGGCTTTTCGGCGGCTCCCCCGGCGGTTTGCACGGCCCCGGCGGCATCCCGGACACCCCGGGCTACCTGCTGTTCCCGGGGCTCCACGAGCAGAGCCCGAGCCACACGTCCCCCAACGGGCATGTGGACAACGGGCAGATGCACCTCGGGCTGCGCGGGGACCTCTTCGGGCGACCGGACCCGTACCGGGCCGTCTCCAGCCCCCGAACGGACCCTTACGCCGGCGCCCAGTTCCACAACTACAACCACATGAACATGAATATGGGCATGAACGTGGCGGCCCACCACCATCACCACCACCACCACGGCCCCGGAGCTTTCTTTCGGTACATGCGCCAGCCCATCAAGCAAGAATTGTCCTGCAAGTGGCTCGACGAGAGCCAGCTCAGCCGGCCCAAGAAGAGCTGCGACAGGACTTTCAGCACCATGCACGAACTGGTGACCCATGTCACCATGGAGCACGTCGGGGGGCCGGAGCAGAACAACCACATCTGCTACTGGGACGAGTGTCCGCGGGAAGGCAAGTCCTTCAAGGCGAAATACAAACTGGTGAATCACATTCGGGTGCACACGGGGGAGAAGCCCTTCCCCTGTCCCTTCCCGGGATGCGGCAAGATCTTTGCCCGCTCCGAGAACCTCAAGATTCACAAGCGGACGCACACAGGTAAGGCCCGTGACCCCCGTGTGTGTCCCCAACCCCAGTCCCCTCGGGGCTCGGCGGGGGCTGCGCGGATGGATCGGCTGCTGCCGGAGCGGGGGGTGCGCGGCGCTGAGAGGGGAACCGCAGAAACGCTCAATGCGATCGCATTTTCGGTGCCTTCCCACCCTGGTTATTTTACGGTTTAGGCCCCATTGCCGCCTCCCCGAATTAAATCAGCGAGACTTTTGTCACAGTGGTTTTATATTCAGCCCCGTCTTCCCTTCAGCCTTCTGTACGGGTGGAGGGAAGAGGAGGGGAAGGCAGGAAGCAAACGTATTTAGGCTGTATCCTCAAATACATCTTGTAACGCTATCGGAACTGCTGAATTTATCCCGGGTCTTCTCCCTCCCTGGGCTCACCCAGCTTCTGTCCCCAGTGCGGGCCTGTTGGGAGGTGAATTAAAAGTAATAAAGGCTGACCCGAATTTCTCCGATACACATAACAAACCCTGCTGTCCGTCCTCCTTCATCTGCCGTGGTGCTTGTGCACCCCCAAGGTGGGGCGAGCAGGACAGAGGCTCTCCTGGGAGGATGCAAGCTGGCATGGAGAGGGGAGCATCCCTCCTTCACCCTCTCTGAATTTCGCAGGTGAGAAGCCCTTCAAGTGCGAGTTTGAGGGCTGCGACCGGCGCTTCGCCAACAGCAGCGACAGGAAGAAACACATGCACGTCCACACCTCGGACAAACCCTACATCTGCAAGGTGTGCGACAAATCCTACACCCACCCCAGCTCACTTAGGAAACACATGAAGGTAATCACCCCTGCGCTCCAGCCCTTTCCTCCCTGAGCAGAGATGCTCAGTCGCTGGCGTGCTCAGGGCCGGTGCCTGCCGCAGCGCTCCATGCTCCCGATGGAGCACGGCCTGAGCCATTCCCGGGGTTTAGGCCGACGCTGGAGCACAGCTCAGGGAAATGGCGTAGTTTCTTTTTGTGCTCCCACTGTGCCCAGTTTACAGATTGTGGCTGGGTCCTGGAAGGCTCTGTAACTGCAGCCGCCCCCCCCCCCCCAAGTGCCGGCACGCTGCAGCCCCTCATACCGGGATGCTGCAGCAAAGTGGCCAGGAGCTGTGGCAAGCATTAGCCCCGCTGCTCAGGGTGAGCAGCAAGGCATGAACTACTTGCCTATGCGAACCAAGCCGCTGGACCCCAATGTCCCTTTTGCATGGGGGAGCAGCCTAACCCAGCTCAGCGGGACGGTGGGGACCGCGAGCTCGCTCCCATCTCTGCCTTTTGGTTTTAGGTGCACGAATCCCAGGGGTCGGACTCTTCCCCTGCAGCCAGTTCGGGCTACGAGTCCTCCACTCCCCCCGCGGTGGGCTCTGCCGGCAGTAAGGACTCCACTAAAACGCCGCCGGCCGCCCTTCAGAGTAACCCCGGCCACAACCCTGGACTGCCCCCCAATTTTAACGAGTGGTACGTGTGAAGGCAGCTGCTGCCCGGCTACAGACTGGACCAAACGCATTGGGAACGAGGGGAAAACAGCAATCAAGGACAAAACCAAGCCAACTGCAGCTCGCTCCCACGGAAATGGAGTTTCCACACCGATGACCGCATAGGGCTACACCTAGTTAATGCCAGGAGCCGGGGGGGGGGGGCTTTTATTATTATGTTATAATTATTCCTATTTTTTGCAAGCCCAGACGCTGGACTAGCCATGTCCTTTTCTCAGGATTAGATTTCTCTTTTTTCCCCTCTTTTTTTGTTGTCATTTTTTGCAGTTGTCTGATATTTTCCCCATTCCCCCCCCCCCCCCTTCCTTTCCCAAATCCCTCTTCCTCCGATTCCCCACTTTGATTTTTTTTTTTTTCTTCTCCATTTATTTTGCTTTTTTCCTTCTTTCGGTGGGATGTTGACATGAGGATGAAAATTCTCCTTCGCCTTAGTGGTGATTGTTGAAACTTACAGTCTTAAACCGTGCCAAAGTCCTGTTATGTCTTGAACTTTCCTCTCTAGCTCTCCTGCTGCTTCTTTCTCTGCTCTCCTCCTCTTTCTCTCCTTCTCTCTCTCTCTCCAAGCATTACACTTGTGAATGTATTCTCGTCTGATGGGGTCGGTCAGTATTTTTCAGGATGAGGATGTGGTGTTTATTCTACCCAGATTGTGACGTTTAGTATTAAACAGTTGCCTTTTTGTAAGAACTTTTTTTATGTAAATACATACCCATGATGCCATATTTATCGTTCGTAATTTAATTATTGATACAAAAGTGCCGGGAACTGAACAATATTTATGGGGGAAGAAAAAAAAATAATAATTGTTTTCTAACAAAAAAAAAATTTACAAACAGAAAAAAAAAAAGAAAAAAAATTAATTCCAACTCTGTACAGCTTTTGGTTATAACTGCTTTAGCATTAAAAGTTTATTGTTTTGGAAAGAGCCGTTTCTGACCTCCTCCGGGGGCCGCGGGGCAGTCGCGGGGCCGGTTGGGCGCTGCCGCCGGGGCCGGGCCGTTGTTTCAGCGCTGGCCACGCCGGGGGAAGCCGCCTCCTCGCCGCCGCTTCTTCTTCTTCTCCTCCTGTCCCTTTGTCCCTGGCCAAGCGCTTCGCTTCCGCCACCTTCCCGAGCGGACCGAGCCGGGGGGAGTGGGGCAACGGGGGAGCCTCGATGGGGAGACTCCGACGGTGAGTACCGGGGGGGGGGGGCCGGGCCCCGGGGTGCTCTTTGGGGGGGACCTCGGGACTGCTTCGCGGCGCGCTGGGCTTTCTCCGTTATCGTCAGGTTTTGTTTTGGGTTTGTTTGGGGCTTTTTTTGTTCTTTATTTCCAGGATGCGGACAAACCTCGGGAGTGCAAAAGAGGCGCCGCTCCCGAGAAACATCTCCGGAAGCCTCAGGCAGCCAGAGCGACGGTGACCCCCTCCTTCCGCCTCAGACCTCCGGCCCCGGCGGGGATGCAGACGGGCTCCTGCACCGCGGACCGCGGCAGCGTCCTGAGCGCGGCCCCGGGGAAGAGGCAGGACCCGCACTTCGGGCTCCGCACCTCCGCTGACCGGGAGAGACCCCAGACGGCCCCGTCTTGAACTTGACTTTTGAGGCACTGCGGGAGGACGGGGCGGCGGGCCGTCCCCTCCAGCCGGGGCCGCTCGGGTGAGCAGCCCCTGAAACCTTTGCATGCTTTAATAATTGGGTTTGAACAATTGTACCCTTTCCTACCTCCTAAACAAACGAGCAACAGCAAGTTTTCGGACAGAAAAAAACGGGAAAAGTGGGTCGCAGCCTCTAGAAAAAAAATACATTAATGTATATTTGAGCATCCTGCTCTAGTGGAAGGTGTCCCTGCCCGTGGAAGGGGTTGGAGCTGGATGAGCTTTAAGGCCCCTTCCAACCAAAACCGTTCTGTGATTCTATGTTATATACCCCAATCCCAGAGCGCGTTTTTCGTTCCTCACTACCCAGCCTGGCCTCATAAACCAGTGCCCCCCGAGGTGCCCCTGCAGACACGGATCTCCGCTGCTTTCCTGCTGGGAAGTCTCTCTTGCTGTGCACAGAGCCGAGCCCCGGGGCTGGACGCGGAGCGCTGCCCGGCCGGGCCCTTCCCGATGGGGCGAATGGGGCCGCTCCGCATCGCGGGGGAGACAAGAGGAGCAGAGCAGCCCGGGGCCGTCGGGTTTTCCTCGGACACCCAACCTGGGTCGTGTCTGCATCGCTCCGGACCTCGCCAGGCTTGGAAATGAGCCGGTAGGTTCGGTTTCGTTACTGCTTTGCTCGGAACGAGGGGGGTGCGATGGTGGGGGGGAATCTGCTGCTGCCAGTCCCTGAAACGCCATTCCAGAGCGGGAGGCTCCGCTGTGGCCGGAGCTGCCTGGCCGGGGGACCCCGGTCCTGGGTGCAGCGTCCCCGGACCTCGGAAGAGCAAGGCTGTGGATGCACGTCCCGGCCCCGCTGTGTCTGGTACCAGGGACCCTCGGGCAGTGCCGGTGTTCCTGCCCTCCTGCCTGCTTCCTTGGGCTGGCAATGCAGCCCCGGCCATTTTTATTGCTAGGAGTTTAAATGAGCATCCTGAGCATTTGGCTTCCCTTGGTAGCCAGGCAGCACCCCGGCCGGGGGCCTCCCCAAACTGTGTGGGAAAGAGGGGGCAAACTGCTGTGTGCACCCCACTGAGCTCAGGGACTCCGCTTTCCAATCCCCCCTCCAAGAAAAAAAGCAAGTGGGGCATAGATGGGGCAGTGTGTGTGCCTTGGGATGGAAGAATTGGTGCAGAAAGGGCTGTGAAATGCTGTCAAAGCAGGGGCTCAGCACCAGCGCTGTGAGGTGAGGCAGAGGGCCTGTGCCCCCCTGAGCATGGCACACTGTCCTGTGGGTGCTACTGTCCCTGCAGTGCCTCTTCCCCACTGCTGCTGCTGCCCCCAGGCCTCAGGGGGTGTCCGGGAGGAGCTGTGGCACCTTGTGGCTCTCATGGGCAAGTAAGAAGGGTTTTTCTGTAGAAAGAAGCATCTGTTGCCCATTACAGGATGATCCTAGAGTGGGAAAAATCCCTTTTTGCAGCATTCTTAGGCTGGTTTTGTGAGTCGGGGTGAGGCAGCTCATGATGTTCAATGCCAGGGCCTGGCAGCAGGGACCTGAGGCCATCCCCTGTGCTCACAGCTCGGGCGGAAGCGTGACAGTGCCGACCGGGGCAGGACAGAGCAGGCAGAGCAGGTGCCATGTTAGCTCAGTGTTTCGTGTGTCGTCAGTAACGGGTCTCATGTCACAGCCTACAAGAGTCCCAGGACTGTTCCCAACAAGGGGCTGTGTTCTGCTGGCCTCCCCCAAGCCTGGCAGCTCCCTTGGAGCTGCTGCGCTCGCTTGTGTGAGCGGAATTAGATGGATTTGTCCCCAAATAAACACAGCTCGGGATGGTTTCCTAAAAGGGGTAATGTTGATTCATTGTGCTATAAAGAATCTAAGCAGAGGCAGGCGATGAGCTGGAGCCATTCCTCCTCTGCCACAATGAGGCATGAGTATTTTGATGCATTTGGAGTCACTGTCTTTTGTGTATCGGTCTGGGTGTCTGCTGTAACCCTCTGTGAATAATATGAGTGGGTTTTAAGCTCTGTACATGCTGTTAGCAGCCAGAGCTTGCACACAGTGTGAAGGCAGTGTCCTGAAGGTTGCGTTCAAGTGTCTCGGTGCTACGGCACCAGGAATTAAGTTCTATAGGAACTCTGCCGGCTGTAACACTCCAAAGCAGTGGGTAGGGTGTAGCATGGTGTGTTTGCAGTTCTGGTTCAGTAATATAATGGGGCCAAATTAAAAGCACCGAGCACTGACACTTTTAGCTGAGCCTAACTTTCATGGCTGTTTGAGAAACCATCCCTGTTATTTATGCTGGTAATAGAAGCAAACCATATGGAAAAATCTCACTGCAGGGATGCAGCCCTATTTTGGAGAGGTAAAACTCCAGAGAAAGCATTGAATAGCTAATGTTATTATGGATTGTGCTGAAGGAAACTGTGTCGTGCTGACTAATCTGTACATGCCCTGAGCTAAGACATTTTGTTAACCTCACTATGCTGTTTGTATGGGTTTAAAAGATGATGTATGTCTTGCAAGTGCCTGCTCACCTGAACATAACTGCAGGCAGTAAAATTGCTTGTGTAAGGGCTCACGCTGCTGAATGAGGATGGTAAAGCAAGGACCTGGCCTGCCACTGTGATGGGAGATGGTTTAGGATGGCTTTGTAGGTATCTGTTCCGTGCTGGAGGGAAAAACCCTCTGCAGAAACCAGGGAGGCCGTTGTCTAAGGAGGCACAAATATACTTTAATAGAAGATGCTGATTGTTATCCTCAGTGAAGCAGGTTATGTGCTGCTTAGGCTTTCTTTTAGCTGATGCTTCAGTTGTGTTTCTCCATTTCAAATGTTTGTGTGAAAAGAGACCTTGACAGAAAAAGGAGGAAAAAAAGAATTTAGCTGAATGAATTTGTTTTGGCAACTTCTTCAATAGTGGCAGCTTTGAAATTGCCTTTGAATGGGTGAGATGTGAAGTTCCTTTCGAGGGAGACCCAGCCTGCATGTTGGGCATTCGTTCTCATGTATGCAGGGCAAGGCAGCCTGGTCTGGGACAGTGGGAAACTCGGAGAGGGGGAAAGCCATCGGCTGGAATGGGACTGGGGAAGCTGGACAGGCTTAATGGCTGAGGAGCATAAAGGAAAAGTGCAGAACAGGGCTGTTCCCATGGTTTGTCCTTTTTCAGAGCATCGTATAATCCCAGTTTGGGCCTGTGATAGCCCCATGCATACAACATGGATCTTAGGCAGGGATTTGGGGCACTTGGTGCGGTGGAGCAAGGGGCCAGGTAGAGATCCCAAAGCTATTGAGGAGGTTGTGCCCTTCTTGGCTTCCAGCATCACTGTGCTCAGGCAGAAACTAGTCTGTGGGCAGGAAAAAGGTGGAACATCAGCAGGGTTGGTTTGGTATGAGGGGAAAAACGTGTTTCGTTCTGCAGTGGGGCAGGTGCAGGGTTGTTATTGCTCTCCTGCTTCGGAGGGAGCAGAGTGGGGTTTGGAGCAGGAAAGAGCACTGTGCTTTATTCACAGGCCAGGACACGGCCTTTAGCTGGCAGGGTCACAGCAGGGAGGAAACAGTCAGGCTTTTAGCCATGGGCTTGCTGCATTTGTGTGCCACTGAGAATATCCATTTGGGAAAATAGAGCTACAGCCAGAAAAGCTGAAGAGGTGGTGCATTGGCACATACATTTGCTTTAAATAAAATTACCTACTTACTTATCTCTTTAAATCCCCCCCCCCCCCCCCGCCCCAGTTTCACTAAGACATTATTACAATGCAAAATTGTGTGTTGCTTTATTTATTTCTAATTTTAAGTATTTTTTTACCACTTTCCATGGGTTACACAGCTTCATTCTGTTACTGGTGTGGGCTAGAAGATGATGTTGTTCTTTTTGTTTGCCTTTTTCTAGTACTCGTTTGCTTTGTGCTTATTTTCTTACCTGTGCTAGTAAAAGACACTTGAATTTAAGGTTTCCACCACTTCACTGTATTCTTACTGTCAAAAAGGCATTTTATATTCTGTTTGCATTTAACACCCCATTAACCCACTGACTTGAGTTTCTCAGTTACTATTGATACCCTCAGATAAAAGTGTTGAGATTGGTGAGAAGAACTCAATCTATAGGAAAAATTCTGAATTTGGGCTCAAATCCTATCTTTAATTAAGAGAAAAATCTCTGCGCAGCAGTCGACGTGACTAAAGTTCCTCTGATGGACTCTGGCTGCTCACTGCTGTGAGGGCTGAGGAAGGCAAAACGTTTCCCAAAATACTGATTCCCCCCCCCCTTAATATTTATCAATTTTCCCATCATATCTATTTTTACTAGAAAGAAGATGCTGCAGGAGCTTGCTGAAACTGTCAGTCTTTAAATATTTAAGACCATGTTCCAGACACCCAATTTGCTTAATTTGGCAAGGTTCAGAAAGAAAAAGGAAACGGATTCATGTTTTATCCCCCTTTTTCTCTTATTTTTTGTCAGTGTTGTGACCCTCAGAGGCCAGTTTCTATTTTGCCTTTTTTTCTTGGTGACAGGCCATGTACCTGTGGTTTAAAGTGGAGCTTGAGCTCAAGTTTTCATGTAATAACCTAATTCTGTGGATTGACTTACATTTTAAAGAGTGATGCTGTTGATAATATATTGTAAGAATTTGCAATACTGCAGCAGAAAAGTATGGATTTAATTTTTAACCATGGCCTGCAGAAGCACTTTAAAATAATGCAGTGAAAAGAGAGAGATTTACTTCGAGGGCTTTGCACCACCCTGTTTTGAAGCCGCGATACCGATGTGACGTTGCAATCTGTTCCTTTTCTTTCTGTTTCCTTTCCGTTCTTTGCTGATGTGGAGGAAGAAGGCAGGCAAAGGACCAAAGGAGTTGAAACTGTGCCTTGAAGAGACTCCCTATACCTCCAGGAGGACGCTGGGCTGAGATTGAAATACAAATGCTCTGTTTGGGCTTGCTTTATGTTGCTGAGGACTTGATTTCCGAGGAGTTCCCCGACCGTTTAAAAATCTCAGGTTAGAGATTATCTTTAATTTTTTAATAGGAAAATAAAATTAAAAAATAAAACCCTGCATTAAGTAATACCCATTAATTCCTTCTTGAAATCACAGGCTGACACAGGGCATATTAAGCATTATAATTTGATAAAGAACTTACTAGTTCCCCGTGCTGTAGGGCTGAGCTCTGCAAGCCTCGCCTTGCAGCCGTGGCTTCTCAGTAAGCTTAATACACCAGAACGGCCCATGTAAGCTGTATCAAGATGTCTGTAATCAGAAGACAGAGAAGAATACAGCGGGCTCATATCTGTGCCTGCAAAATCTAATAGTCCCAATTTCAGGCTGTGGCCACTTACTCAGCTTTTAGGAAATTTATAAGCCAAACTCGAGCAGCTGCAGTGTTAAAGTGAAATTCTTTGTTGTCGTTGAATTTTAATCCAAGCTAGGGGAAGGGGGAAAAAAAAAGAGAAGTATTCTAGAGAGAACAATAATAAGCATCTTAGTTTTATCACACTTGTATTTCTAGCTTTCATTGTTTTGCCGTAGGATAAGAAATAGTTTCCTTCCAGATAGACAATAAATCACAGTGAAGGAATTAAGCCAGCATAAATGCCCCCTACAAAGTTTCAAATCACATCTTCATCAGCACAGCATTAATACCCTGAAAAATACGTTTTCTTCTTGTCAGTAATTTTCTGTTCTTAATCTCGGTCAGTCTTTTACATGAAAGCTAGTGGTGAGTAAATCGCGCCCGCGGCGAAGCTGATGCAAGGAAGGGGCATCGGAGAAATACTGCGTTTCATAACCACAATCACTGGAGCATTAGGAGAGCAAACATGTGGTTTTATGAACATAGTTATAAATATTTAAACATGCAAAATGAAAATGTTGCTAAATGTCTGGTTTCCATTATCTTTCGATGAACGTTTTCATTCTTGGAAGCCTTGCTTAGCTGTCTGCAGGGAAGGATCACCACCCCCTTCCCCAGCATGAATGATGCGCAATGCGAAAACGTGTTAAAATGCACAGTTGTTTGTAATGTCTTCTACCAACGTGGAAGACATTCTACCAAATTTGGTATTCTACTGACTCACAAAGTATTCTTGCCCAACAAACAGGCCAACCACCCTGCTTCTGTCAGCAGCTTGCTCTGCTAGACGGTATGAGGAATCTAAGGATGGTTTGGAAAACAGAAGATGTCACTCAGCGAGCTTGGAGTCGTGTCCTGCCACCCTTCCTCAAGCAAAATCCCTACAGAAGTCAATGCAAGATGTGGCTGCTGATTTTATCATTGCTAACGTGTTAGTTTGAAGTGTCAACAAGTGTCGGAGCGTTCTGTGTGCCTCCATGGAAGGGTTGGGAGGCTGCGGTAAGGAGTTTTGGGGTGGGAAAGCCGGGGTCTGCTCTTTGGCCGGGCTCCTGTGGTGGTGTAGGGCTGTGCCTTTAAACCAGGATGATAGCAGGCCGCGGCGGGTATAGGTTGTGCAATTTCACTTGCGTGAGTGGAGGGCTGTGGGAAAGCAGAGGCCATGCTGTGCATCACTGCTCATAATAAGGCAGGTGTCTGATTCCTGGGATCCAGCGGAGTCAGCCGCCTCTCTTGGCTTCGGTTCTCCCCCATCAGTGCACCCCACAAGGCTCCGACTGTGCCGCGTATGTCATGGGAGAGAGATGCCAAACGATTTATTTCTTTATTTTAATACGCCAGGAAACCCATTTTAGATGTAGTCACATATTGAATCCTGACTGCCGTGAGGTTGTGCCGCGCTCGGCATCCCGTGCTGGCACATCGGCACGCATGAGCCTCCTGTTTACTATTCCTCCTGCAGTTGCTCCCACCAATAAATCTGCACTTGCTGTAGCCAGGATGGAAATCTTTAAGACAAAGGACTTGAATGAGAAGGGGTTTTTTTTTTTAATACTGTGATAGAGTAGAAGGCCCCAAGCTGGGGGCTGAGTGCATGTGTGAATGCTGACCCCCTTGTCTTGGTGCTGTCTCCTGCTAGCACTGTATCAGAGACTGTAAAAGGACCCCCAAGGCTGGTATTGCCCCATTTCGATTCTTGCTCCTGTAACTGCAGCAAATCCTGAAGAAATGATGGCTGAGACGTGAACTTGGAGAAGAGAGTGGAAGAGCAGGCCATTGGGTAAAGCAGGCGATGCCTGGGGGGGCAGCACAAAAAAACGTGGGAATGAGGAAAGGAGGAACAAAAGAGATGTGGGCTGGCGAAGGAGGAATAGGGGAGTGAAAGGCGGCTGGGCTGGTGCAGCAGCGAGGAGCTGCTCCTTGTCCCTCTGTGTGAATACATCCAGCTGAGCCTTTCGCATTGGCAGGCTGTTCAGGCAGAGCCCCCACAACAGTGTGTGAGTCTCTGGAGACGTGCAATGGATTTGCCCTGTGGGAAGCAGTGTATGGTGCTCAGGGTGAGGGACCCTTCGTGCTACCCAAGTTTTGGTTCCTGCGATGAAGCTGTGTATGGCATTGGTGGCACCGGTCCCGTGCCCGAACTTTGGGATGTGGCTGGTGATGGAGCCCGTTGGCAACCCAGACCTGAGCTGCGAGGGGGAAGGAGAGGGCTGGCTTCCTGCAGGCAGCTTTGTGCCCACTGGGCTCGGGACCAGAGGGATCCTCAGGGAGCTGTTGTTGCCCTCCTACTCTCCTCCATTCCTGGAGGGATTTGGGCTGGTTTCTCAGCAGCAGGCACGATGGTGCTGCTCTGTATCCACTTACGTCAATGCAGACCTTTCCATGGACTCCAGTCTGGGTTGGATCAAGCCTTGCATGATTGCAGCCCTTGTGCATTTCAAAACTGTGTTAATCTATATCTGGATCCCAATGGGGGCACTCGGGATGAGCCGAGCTCAAACAATCCTTGGCAGGAGGGACGGACTGAGTTGGCAAGGATTTTTGTCCCATTATTGGTTACTTGGAGGAAGGATTGTACGCACCATTTTAATATATGACAACTTGAGGTCTGTCATCTTCAGTGTATTAGAAAAGCCTCATTTTTAACACATCCCAGAGGCTTTGCAGCTGGATTGAGGCTGCACACCAGGCGTGGGCAGAGGCATGGGGCCGTCTCTCCATCTTGTTAGGCTCTGAAAGACTTCTCCCACCGTTGGGAGACCCCCAGGCTGCCCACCTCTCACTCCTGTCTGCTGCCTTTGGCAGGGGAGGTGGAAATACCAGGGCGGAATAGACCAGTAGCAGTGCAGCCCATAGAGCAAACCATGCTGAAAGCTCTTCTCAACTGGAGAAATCCGCCTGCATGTTCCCAGCAAGTTAAGCCAGGGTGTTATTTAGCTCAGAGGAGACTTGTCTTTCTGCAGTAAAATCCTCAAAACATGTCCCAAAGGCCTCGAAGGAGATTTTGCTTTCTCTCAAGCCAGTTTGCTATTTCTTCTAGTGAAAAATCCAGATGGGTACCTCAGTTGAAAACTGGCTTGTATCAAGTCACCTTTTTTTGCTTTCTCACTCTGGGTTTTCAAAGTATACAAATTCATTGTCATAAAGACATTTCAACAAGATTATTTAGGCTTGTTGTATCAAGCCCAAGAAATTCTGTCCAAGTGACTCAGAAATGGTGTGGAAGGATGGAGGATATTTGGATTGGGTTGGTTATGGAGGGAGGAAGTTTTAAAACCAAGCATTGTTTGTATTTTTACACCTTCAGTCCTTAGCAAAGTGTTCCCTTCTACAACATCCCCATAAAGAGAAAGCTGAAATCATCAGCAGAAGGAATAGGTGTCAGCTTAGACAGATGACTGTGTTTCTGGGTAATTGAATGCCATTTTAATATCTTGCTTTTAATGCAGCTCAGAGAAGGGTTTGATGGACAAGGCACTGATGCTTGTGAGCCGGAGTTCAGTTGTTAGGGTTATGTCAGATATTGCTTTTCACAGACAACTGTAGTTGCAGCATCAGCTCCCATTAAGTGTATTAGGGCCTCTGAGGTTCAGGGCTAGCACGCACCATATTTTGTAGCCTTTGGTTTTGCTTCTGTGCTGACAAAACCAGAAGGTCTTTGGTTAACTTCTGACCACTGACATATTAAATGAAGATGAGCGTTTGAGCAACATCAGTGATTTCAATTGACTCATCAATTGCTGTTGCATAGCAGTCCTCATGTTTCACTTTGGTAACAAGCTGATCTGCCACATCTGATGCCAGCAATTCAGTCCTTCAAACAAATGACATGTTTGATAAAGAAATCTTTTAAAATTCATTATGCACTTTGGCTTTTGTCTTTCCTTTTAATACAGCATCTGTTGCAGCCGGGATACATTCCTTGATCGTTTCTGAGTCTGCAATTATTTCTCTGCCTGCCCAGTGTCCCGGAGATGTGAAACGAAGCTGCCATGCTCTGCTGCTGAGCCCTGAAACTCCACACAGACATTCAATTTAATCTCTTGGAACAGACTGCATTAAAGTCGTGTCATCAGTGCACACTTGTGATAAAAAGACGACATGAAGAAAGACACTGAACTGAAAGGCTCTGCTTTGCTTTTCTGGGAAGAAAATAGGATATCTGTCCCTTCATTTGTTTCACGGATTCCTTGCATTTAAATTCAGCAGAAGGCTTCAATTGTCTAAACTTTATCCTGAGCGTTTTTTGTCAGTGCTGGAAAGGAATACAGTTAAGTGTTCCATGGGGAGTCTGATAGAAAAAGCTATGTGCAGTGTTAATGAGTTGGGATGGGGTCATTCGTTTTTCCATATAGAGCCAGAAACAAACACAGGACGCGAGGAGAAATGATCTGCAGGGATCCACTGATCTGTGGTATGGGGTGATCCTGAACTTCCACAGCCCTTCCAAAGACTCACAGAAGGATCAAGGGGGCTTTCAGCTTAAAGTGCTCCCGTGTGCTTCAATCCTGCTTCATGCCAGGGCTCCATGGATAGCTGGTGCTGGAAGAAATGACAAACGTCTTGGGTGCCACAAGAGATTGCATCAGCGTTACTGATCCTCACTCGGCTGGTTACTGAAAACGCATCAAGCATCTCGATGGGTCAGACTGCTAAATTTGTAGACACGGAGTGTCAGGAAGCCTTTTTGTCATCTTAGTACCATTTAGTATATTTGTCCTCAAGTTCAAAGCAATCCCGGCCTCAGACTTGTGATATTTGCTGCCCTTTCCCCTTTCTGTTGGCTCAGACCTCTTCCCTTTGAGGTCAACATCAAAATAAAGACGTATGTTTCCTTAGCCTGGCCATGGCTCTGACTCTTTAGATCAGCAATCCTATAGTCCATATGTCTTCCCATCTGTCAACTGGCATTTGAAGCCAGCTTGCTCCTCTATTCTTTCAGACAAGTGTGAGAATCAGGAGTTTCTTTAATGATGGTTCCAGGCCTTAAAGCATTTGCTAAGATACTACCTATTAAGATCCCTTGATGGCACCTTGAATAGACATCAAAAGCAACTGAGTTCACTCCACAAATCCAAAGCTGTCAGTCAGTTTAGGGCATTCAGAGAGGGGTGGGGAGGGCTCGGGAGGGCACCGCGCTCCCGCAGTTAGGAGACAGGCATGGGAAGTCCGAGCCTGGTGTCGGATGTGATGGGAGCCAGCAAACAAGAGCTCTGTGAAATCCCTCCTGTGGTGGCTGGGGCTTTGCCAGTGCCAAGTGGGCTGGGGGCTTTGCTTGCCCTGTGTGATGGTGGCAGCCTTTAGGATCTGAGCTGCGCCTGGCTTTTTGGGGCCGCATCAATACCTGTGTCCCTGCTGCTTTGACTGGGAGATGATTCTGAATCCTCTTGTAAACAGAAATCTCAGAGTACAAAACGCTCTTCTTGTAAATAATTATCACCAGGCAACAATTTGTCTCTTGCACTTTGGAGAGCCGCTCATAATGGGAATCTGTGTCCTGCTTCACCACTGGGACTGCATGAAAGGCAATATGGAGAGATGCTGCCTGCGCGGTGCTATCGCAGCAGAGCGGCCTCTCTTTCTGAGGGCACAGTTTGACTTTCAAGCTTCCCTATTTTAAATGCTTGTCAGGAGATGCTGCAAAACCCTTCGAATATTTGGAGGGAAGTGTTTGCTCCGGTGGTGCATTTCCTCAGGTGACTGTGGTAGCTGAACTAGTGGGAAGTTGTGGCCCTTGATTCAAACCTAAAACCCAAGGGCTGTTGGCTGTGGGAGCCTGAAACTGCAGGGTGCCCACCATGGGAAGGGTGGCAGAGTGCATTCCCCAGGGAGCCTCAGCCAGTGCTAACCAACATTGCTCTTTATGGGACCCAAATGTCCTGAGAAGAGCTGAAAAGCCCCAGAACGTGGCTGAGTGCCAGGAGATGGTGTCACACCACTGGCCATCTAGTAAAACTTGACTCACTGGAGTCACGGACACCATATGTCCTTCGATCTGTGTTAACAGAAACCTGTCAAAGTGGGAGCATGAACCTGATGTCCAGATGCAGGCTTTGTTTGTCTTTAACTTCAGCCATAATGTCACTTCTGCTCCCTGAGGGAAAAGCTCTGGAGCTTCGGAATCAGGTGCTTAGTCAAAATTTGGGGTGTTCGGATTGTGTGCTTGTAAGGAGCAAAACAGAAATGACTTGATGTGATTCTACATCCTCACCAAAGAGATGCATCAGCTCTTGGATGCTGCAGTAAGCAAAACATCAAGAGTCAGTTTTGGTTCCCTCTCCAAGTGTCTTTCAGCCATCCCATGCCTCAAAGCAATCTCTATCAGATAGTCATTGGGTTTATTTAAATGGCTTTGGCTCTCTGCTCTTATTCTGTGCCTGTATTCCTGGTCACCCACTGTTTTTCTTTTACAACCTTCACTCAGTCTATTCTGCCTCTCTTTTTTTGCACGATGATCCTCAGCCAAGTTTGTATTCATTACAGTCATTTTTAGTGTGAATCCATATCTGCCTTTTTAGGGGGTAGTGGTGGTGGTGACGTATACTTGTGGTTGAAGGAGAAGCTGCTATTGAGTTGGACAAAATAGGATGAATGTTGTATAAAAGCCTTCAGAGAGCTGTGAAATCTCCATCCTCTCTTCCTTGTTCTCCTGGGAACACTTGCACAAAGAGTATTTTTAATGTGAAGCAAAAAGGATTCTGACGAATACTCATTAACATTTTGTTTCCGCAGATACATACATGATTATCACAAGGCTGCAAGGGACACATATTCAGTAAAGCCCTTAGATGTATGCTTAGTTTTATGTATATACTTAAATCTTCCAGAATGGATGTTTTAACCGAGACAAAACCAGGTGTTCAATGGAGCCTATTTGTACTGCTCAGGTATGATGCAGTGTGCTGTGATATAGGTCCCCGAACTCACAGCGTAATAGTGTTCTGTGCACAATGAACCCTCTCAGATGATTGTTGCAATGGACCGGCTGAATTACACACCCACAAATCATTTGTATCATAACTGTGATCAACAAACCATAAGAGCAGGATTTAACCAGAGGTTGCAAAGGGAAACAACACCCCAGCCACCATACGCTATAGCTTGTTTTCATCATGCACTTTTGAATGTGAGCCCAGGTGATATCAGGCAAAGGTATTGCTTCTCCATCGCCCCTTTGGAAGCTCCAGTCCCATGGATGCAGATCTGGTATGGATTGCAGTTGGATATACCCCTCAGGGCATACGCAGGCAGCCCCATTTCCTGCTGCCTGTTTTGAGCTGGATAAACCCAGGACAGCCTTGGTCAGGAAGAGTTAACTCTTAGCTAGTTATCTTGTTTAAGGGGCAAGAGAAAGTGTGTCTTGTCTGGGCCTCTTCCTGCAGACTGATGTGTTCATCTGTTGCTCTGAATGCCCTGTGGAAGGTGGAGTGCTGGGCTTGCTTGACTGTGTCACTGGATGCTGCCCTAGATTCATTTAGGAGTAAAGATATCCCATTTGCACTAATGAGGAACTCGTTTTGGGGGTCATACTATGTAGCAAAAGAGGCAGATATGGCAGAAGGGTCATTTCCAGGCTTTGCTGGTGTTCTCGAATCTTGTCACAGAGGCAACCATATGCCCATTTTTCATGAGGTCCCCATTCTTCTGATGGTTGTTACCCACTTTCTTTGTTGCTCTTTCCATATGAAATCTTGGGTTCCTTCTAGCAGCTATTTTGGGTGGAATAACAAAGCCTAACAGTTGGAAACAAAGCAAAGGCTGTATGGTTCTAGCTATTTCTTTTATGACTATCCAGAAATGTTGTGAGTATGCCTGTTTTTTGTATGGCTGAGTGCCATTTGGACTCCCTTGAGGGATACTGAAGCTGTCACACAATGCCACTGGGGAGTGGAGGCACTGTCACCGTGCAATGGATGGTTTGCTAAGAAGTTCATTAGTGTAATGCCTCTAAATATTACTGGAACCTCAGGGTGTGATCCCATGTGGACTCAGAAGCCCAGGCTTGTCTCCTGGGAAGAGGAAGCTCCAGGTTCTGGTCCTTAGTTGCAGGAGTTTCTGTTCTACATACAGAGTTGAAAAGCAGAGGCCTGGCTGAAGGACATCCATGACTACAGTGTTGAGGTACTGCAACCCAGTGAGCTCATCAGGGTGGTGATTTGGTGCTGGTACTGTACCCCAAGGCAGGAGGGTAACAGAGATAGGCTTCAACTACTTGGACGCAGATAGCAATTCAAGCAGTCTTCTTGTCCCTGGAGGGCAGGGTGAGCAGCTTCAGAATATGCCAACTACTTAAGAATAGGCACTAAAGATCAGTCACCCAAGAAGTGTGCTGACTCCCTTAGTTGAATGGCCAAAAGCATCTTGGTTTGACTGTAGGAGAGCCAGGGCATTACGCCACTGGTTTTACATCACCATTCCTTTTGGCCAAACTGCAAGAAGACGTTCTTTAGCATGTGTATGTAATTGGGGGTATTTTTTCCTAGCTGATGGAAAGATAGCTGTGTAATTAATGGACTGGGTAATTTGTTCTAACAATAGGCCATATTGTGACATTGATTGTTAAACAGAATTCTCCCTTAGCAGAAAAAACATTTGCATTGAAGTCTGTGAGCATAATAGAGCTCAATATTCCTAAGAAGGCTCTCTTTGACCATTGGTGAAGACTAAAGATGGTAGCACCTGTTACCAGTGAAGTGAATGAAGATGGTGCATCGCTTCTGTTTATGTGGCAGCCACCAAGCACTGTAAACGTGCTGCTTCTTGCATTAGCACATCCTCGAAGTACACAGAGCTCATCTACAACACATGGAAATACAACTGGTTAAAATCATCGCCATCATTTGACTATGGTATTTGATCATGAGCACTACCCTTCAGCATGTAAGTAATGTGAATGGCATGTTGCACAGATATTCAGACCTTCATTTACCTTCCTCTCCTTTTCATTGTTTGCAGGAGGTCTATTCTCTGATGGCGTCCTGAAAAAGACAAAGTGGATATTAAGCTTATCTCTGCTGCTGATATTTACTGCTGATAAACAGACTCAGTTAAATAGGAACAAATGTTTGTTTCATAATCCACTTGCAACTGCAGGCTTCATGATATGTGAAGAGTACAGAGATTAATTCTGCCATTTGCTGACAGCATGTTTCCAGTTTCCTGGTGTATAGCACTCACATGCAACAGGTTGATAATGCTAACCTGTACCTTCCTGGGTAAGATGTAAGGATTAGTTATTGATGTACATACTTTAGGCTTTCAACCTAGCAGGGATTGCCCATGTTTAGTGTCTAAAGTATTTCTGCTCCTAGGTGGAGGTGAGATCGTTTTGTACTGCAGTGAATTGGTCTTTACTTTGCCTCCTTCAAAGGCCTCTGGGCTTTGTTTTTTTCCTTAACGTTTTCTGAGCACACAGTTAAAGTCCCTTTTCCCCAAATGGGTTTCTTTTCGCCACAAAGGCTGTTCTACCGCATCTCAAGAGTTAAAGTTTTATCAGCGGCACATTCTATTTTCAGATAGCATCGTGTGGAGACGATGTTTTCAAAAGCATTAACTCAAACCACACAGATGCACAACTGCTTTAGAATATGAGAATCCACATATGCTTTATATTATAACGCACATAAAACCGAAGTATAATACAGTAGGCTTTGGCAATGAAACAGAGTAGTCGATATATAAATTTTATGCCTAGTTCTTTGGATTAATGAGCCACTTTTCTTGATGAATTGAGCATGAATGAGTAAAACCACAATGATCTGATTAGATGCTAAATCAATGGGTTTCTGGCAATTCAAAAGTTGTGTGTCTAGTTCAGAGT